TTTTATCGAGGTACATTTATTTTATATCAGGTTAAATAGTTTTAGTCTTTTTTAGTTTTATTAGATTGAAGTTTGTCACAAGTATTCAAAATTTGATATATCTTGGTTTTCAACTTTAAAAAAGAATAAGATATAATCCTTTTCGTACTGAACATTTGAAGTAATAACGTATGGCATCAAAATTGGGTGAAACAAATCAAAGCCCAACCGAGATGGGTGGCTGAAATGTCAAAAAAAATTAATATACTTGGGTTAAAAAGACTATATCCTTCATTTTGAAAATTTGAGGACCAAATTGTGTCAAGTTTTCCTATAGGCATGAATACAAATTTCACTTTAAAGTTTAAAACATGATTTACACCCTTTTTATATTAATAAGAAAAGATAGTTAAGTATTAACAAAAGGGTTGAAGCTAACAGTGAGAAATGAATTGATTATATTATTGTAATATTATTGTTGATTATAAAATGTTGTTGGTTATACAATTGACACCATATGTTAGCTGCAAATCATTCATAAATTGATTATATAATATTTACCTGCTTTGGGCAGCTGTACAAAAACATGTTGAACAACTTGATAGATCAGAAAATTTCCCTACATCCATTAACTCTTTCAATTGAAGAATTTGCTTCCGCTGCCAAAGAAGCTGATGATGAATCAAAGGTAAAACCAAAGTAACTGCTACGGTTTCATTTAATGATACATCTTATGCAGTAAACACTCCAAATTGTTTCTTATTGCCATGTATTTATGCTTGTCTTTCTTTGTTTTGAACTGCAGAAACTGAGATTGCAAGAAACAGAGGGCTTTGTGGATATCAAAAAACGAGCATTGAATGATAGACTAATGCTTGCTGAAAAAGGGTTCTTGGATGCAGATGGACTTCAAGGAAGGCAGTGGTTCAAGCATCTCGTGAGTGTGTCTGTTAATTATGAAATATAATAAGCCATCATCGTTGTATTTTGTGAATTAAAAGCTGACATTTTGTTATATACAGGTGTATGGGCCTTCAAACAACAATGAAAGACTCAATTTCTTCCCTGGGATTTCTGATTCTATTACTGGTTCTACTGGTGTAACTGAAACAGAAAGGCTAGCATCAATTCAACATGAGATCTGGAGGGTTGCCAGAGCCATTCGCAGAGCTGCTTCTGCACTCACAGGAGAATTAGCTTAAAACACGACGCAACAGAATAAAAATAAACAAAACTGAAGATGGATGAAACCATATACGTTTTGATGTAACATTTACTAGTGTGTTCTTCACCGTTACACAGAGCAGAGGTTGGCTCAGTCACATTTTGAGAGGTATATAACTGTATATTAAGGTTTCAGATAGGAGATGGATATATATGACTCTGCCAGCAGTTTGAGACATGTACACACAGTGATAGCAGACTGTGTTTGTAATGAATGATCTTCACAAGATTTTCTACGTTTTGTTTAAAACATCAAGAAATTTTGCTACGAATAAATAAATCAAATATTGCTATCTGTCCATAAAATATTAGTACTAATTGTAGTTTGAGCGAGTTTTTTGTTTTCAAGTTTCAACACCCCATATTTTTTCAAGAAACTAAATGCATATTTTGTTTTAATTTAGTAATTCGGTGGCGAAACAAAAGGAATTGAAAACAAAAAAAAATACTATAATATTAGGTCGATGTGTAATTAATTAATTTTAAACGATCGCAGAGGGGTCAACCTACGACTTAAAATGGCGGTTGCCGCCTAAACCAGTGCATGATTAAAGCGCGTATACAGCAATAGTAACCCTTCCGGCTGATGCACCGAAATACGTCAGGTTAGAATGCAGAACAGGTCTTGAATACATGCTAAATGGGCCACAGAAATACTATAATACAAGATTATCCGCTCGTGTAATTAATTTTTGTACATGAAAATCGGAAAATCGACAGGTACAAGAGGGAATATTCGAACCTAGTCGCTATCATGCTTAGGAAGACAGACGCTACCGTATCCTGCAGCTACGCCTAGACGCGACATACGTATAACGAATCATAACTCGGAAGAACAAGACAGCAATCCGCCTTTTTAGTGACGACGATCGAAATGACGGGTACAAAGAGAAGAATGATGGGAGAGAGGAAAGAGTGGCGAGCGATTTGCGCAGATGATCTCGCAGCTTGCTTGAACACATGTTCAGGCTGCCGCCAGATTTCTAGCAACCACCGTCCATCCTCTTCCGGATGCCCTCAAGTGCAATTCCATCGATCGCCGAACCTATTCCTCTCGGTACTCTTCTCTCTCCTCGGTCAGTAAGAGTCTACAGTACTGTGATACGAATGCGAACGTGTGCTAGAGCAAAAACATCAGTTAATGGGTACCAAATTCATTTCCTTAATCGTAACAGATTCCGCGTCGTATATCTTCACGCAATGCCTAAATCGCCGACGTATCCGCGCCACCGCCGACCTCGATATGCTCGATCCATGTCCTTCGGCACTGTCTCTTCGAAGAGCTCCTAGGGTCACTGCAACGAACTGTACAAGAAGAACCACTCCGATCTGCTTCAACTCCAGAGCATCTCCAGAGCCGCGGTTACACTCCTGGTACTTCTCAAAACACAAAAAAAATAAAATAAACACCTAATATAACCTAACCTCTTTCTGCTTCGTGATTCTCTGTTTTTGTTGAATTTTATTTTCTTGATTCAGTTCTGATATTGAGGAGGAGGATGTGAATTCGAGGATATACAGCATTCAAGATCCGGAAGAAATGATGCCATCAAATGACGAAAAGACCAACCAGTACTCTAGGGATAGATGCGGGAACATAGACAAAAACTAAGACTAAGTATACCAAGCGCCGGACGAGTGACACAGCTCCACGTAGCGAGTATTCCACTGGACGAGAGGAAGAGAAGAAATAGAGTAGAGAAGCAAAGGCAGCGAAGACCGAAGAAGTCGTACCGGGACAGTCTTTGATCCTTGGCCATCCTAGCTTCAAAAGTTTCGAAGAAGATGCTTTGTATCCTTATCTTATGCCTCATTTACTTTCTTTCACTAAATCTCAATTTAATACGATTTCCAGCTTCTAAATAGATTTAACACGGAATGAAAATACATAGAAGATTATCAGATCAGTGAAGTACTGTAATTAGATTGATTTTAGGCTCGGAGTGACATGCGATTGTCTTTTCATTTTTTAATTATTTTATTTAATTTCGTGCTTTTATTTCCCGAAATTTGTGTGTAAGGCTCTGAAAATTGGTTGACTATTAATATGATAATCGTTCAGTTGAGTCATTGCTCAGTTTATGATAATACCTACTTTCCCTTAATTCTCTTCAGACTTGATGAGTCTTTGAGTTTGAAAAAGTTTGGGAGAAGACACATTGGTCAGATTGCATATCTAGCCACCTGTTACGATCATGAAGGTAGTGAATTTCCACTTGCCTACCATAAGGTGCTTGTTAATTTGGGAGGATTCCATTGGCCCTGCTTTTAATTAGTTTGCAAGTTTTTTTGATGTTAAGGTTTGTCCATTTTTCCAAGTAATGTACTGGTAATATTATTGTTTACATGAAAACTATCCTTAGTTCTCAAATTAATTAATTTGCGTATGCTAATTCCATTTTGTTTTATTCCACTATTTTTTCATCTACGAATTCAGGTGATTTGTCATCACACGAACATGAGAAGAAGTAAGTTCAAAATTATGGATATCATTTAACTGTTGTCGGATTTTCTGCATTTTTATTGATAATTCCTACACGATTCTCATTCCCAAAGCTATGAGTGAACAGATTACAAGAATTTAGGCAGGAAGATCAACCTGTTGTGTCGTCTGAAGGAAGCAAGTTTCTTACTATTGGTAATCGAATTATTCCTGTTTTAAAATGTTCTATCTTCAGCACATGGAGTTTTGTTATCATTTTTTTTTTTTTACCCCAAATAAAATTTAGTGTCAGAGAATGAGAATTTAAAGTCAGCTGAAGTTCCGAGTCCCCGGATTATCAGATATTGAAGAGCAATTGAATGTCTTTCCTGCTTACATTGAAGGGTCTAGCCGTCATGGGAGGGTGAGGGCATTTTGCGGTGTTTTTGAGATACTGTAAAAATTATTGTCCGTAAATGGTTATCAATATGCACTTTTTTTAAAAGTACATTTTTGAGAGACGTGATTTTCAAATACTTGGTTTATAAAACAACAAAGTGAGTGTAAAACTTGGAAAAAAGTTGTTGGAAAGTAATCAATGTGGGATCAACTTTTTCATCTCATAAAATTAGCTTTTTTTTCATGGAAAAAGACTTACTACAAAGTTTAGTATTTTTTAAAGCATATCCGTAAATTAGAAAGTTTTTTATTGCAAAGCCAGCTGAAATCTCTAAAATTTTCCATTTTCTAAACACGGTTTCTCGATTGATTATACACTAAGGTTGTTGATTATTCCTCATGGATGTCCAGTTTTTTGCATGTAATCTTGACACTTTTATTGTTTTCACCATTATTATCTAAACATTTAAAATAAAAAAATAACGTGGCAATTTTATTGTGAGCGAAATGAATAAAGTAAATATTTTCTTAAATAAAGTTTGTCTTTATATACCACTTACAACAAATGCACAGTACTTAAAAGGTCTAAACTTGCACCAGTCATGTTGAAGTTCCAGGACATCTGCTTTTATTTAATGTATTATATAAGTCTTCATTTTTTTAAGCATATAAGGCTTTTAGATTCTAGATACTGTGACAAAATACTAAGGTCTAAGGGCTGAAGTTCAGTATGCATCTAACCCTATGCCATTATTTCCCCCTTGGTTTTGGTTAAGCTTAAAATCAAGGATAATTTGACTTGGCAATCACGTTTCGTAAGAAATTTCTATTAACCTTGAGATTTTTTTTGGGGTTCCTGTGCAACTTGATCTTCTAGGATCTACTTGGAGCCGTTGAAAAGATTAATCCAAGGAAAAAGAACACAAAAGTCAACAACTAAAAAAATAACGACCAACAAAAAAATTTTTTGGTTTTTATGCAGCTACTTCCACCAAGATGATGATGTGATTCCCTCATTTGAATTAGGTAGTCTTACTGTACCATCCTTGCCCTTATCTTTCTTCTGATTCGACCTATGGAAAACAGCAATCTGTTGCTTGTGATTTATTCTCACTCATGACAAAATCTTCTCTGCCATCCTTTAGTCACACGTATAGCCTCAAATATGCTGCTGTCTTGTGTATTCAGGGCCCAAAACAAGATCATACTTGTACTTCTAGTGCGCATGAACCGATTGGTTGTTGAGACTATTGATGGTATACTATCGTACAGGTATTGTAGATACGAGATCCAACGGAGAACTGTTTTTCACCTCCTAATTCACTTTTTCGTTGACATTCGTATTCCAAGAAGCACGGAGCCTGAAATTGAACTCAGCAAATAACTACATATACAGTGAGTGAACAGTCATTTTAAGTGTTAGGGCATTCTGTACTTTCATAATTCTTTCCATGTTCCGTCCTCTTGCATCTGATATGAGGCTACGATTACAAGCCACACATGCACATGGAGAAAGTATAAAAATTACATTTGTAATTTATAATATATTTCAAGGGAGAACAACCACTAAGGTTAGGTTCAACCCTGGCAGGAATTTTTTCTTTTACTATTTAAGGTGTACACTTAATCATGACATTGGTTCTTTGTGGCTTATATTAAAATCATGATATCTCTGTTGCCGTAAAAAAGATAGTACTGAAAAAAGTTAACTTAATTTTTTATTAAAATAAAACTCTCATATAATTTTATTTTTCTCTTCTCATTCTTTTTTATAATTAAATAGAGAGTTTTGATATTTTAAAAATATACATGAATTTTAACTCAAGTATTATCAAGCTTTTATTTATTCTCACATCTATGATCACATTAAACTATCTAGTAGAATAAAGCTACTTTAATACCTATTTTTCTATTTAATAAGTTCAAATTGGAACATTATTAGAGGAGTTCTTTTACACCAATATTTTCAGTTTCCGTGACAAATGCTTTTTATGATTACAATTTATAAAAATTATTTTGATTAATAACGCTATTTAAATCTTCATATAAATTTATTTATATCTATAAACTATGTCTTTTAAAAGAAATTGAAAATTAATTTGAAAAAAGTAAAACAATATATTAAAAGGGACAATTGGTTAAGAAGTTTAAAATACTATCATAACACTAATGGTTTAAATGTAATTTTCATCTTCTCATTTTAATCCGCTATTTCTTCCCTCTTAAAATAATAATCTAATTATTATTTTACATATATACTTTATTCCTTTGACTTTATTAGAATAAAACTTTTAGATCTAACGTATTCATTTAAGCTATAAAAAAATAATTTGATTGAATAAAATATTACGAAAATGTAGATAAAACTGAGGATTTAATCATATTTTTGAAAACGTTTATGTTACTCATCCAAATTAATAATTTATAAATAATAATTAATAATACTGGCATGGTTTGAGCAAACTCTCATGGATCCAATTGACTATGTGATGAATAGATTGATTTTAAGTTTCATTCGTCTCAACCAATTTTATTACCGTTTATATAGGTTGACTATAAATTGATGAAATATTGTATAAAATTAGAATAACAATGTCAAAAATTATTAAAGAAAATCTATAAAAGAGGAATAAATGATAATATTGAAAAAAAAATATTGTTTTAAAACAAACAAAAAATCATGAATAAAAATGAATTAAATGAATCTTGCCGTGTTTTCTATGATTTAAATATTATTAGTGTTTAGATCAGTAATTAGATGTATTAATTAGATTATTTTAACAATATATATCATCCAAGTATTTTTATACATTAATTAGAAAAATATAGCAAAAAAAATTACACGAAATTGTTCATAATAATTAGATGAGTATAAAAAAATGTTAAATATTTCATACGCGTATTAAAGATTGTAACAAAAATGATTAGACAAAGTCTAAAAATACATTGATTAAATGAACAAAAAAACATTAGAAGAGATTGTCGATGTATTGATTAAACGAGTTTAGCAACACACGTAAACGAGTAATTTACATGTTTATTAGACAACTGTAGCTATATACATTAGATAAATTTTTTAGTTCAGAAATCATACAAGTCTATTAATAAATATTAGACAAATATATTCATTCACGGGTTAAATAAACATAATAAAAAATATTACATATGTCTAGCCATACACATGTCTAGTCATACAGATTGACTTTGTTCCTATACTAGTTAAATGAATATAACAAAAAAAATTTAAATTAAAGTTGTACAGTCTAACTATTGAGTGTACTGAAATACAATTTTTGTTTAAAGTATACTAAAAAAAACTAAAATCGTGACCTTAGACTTCTACATTAAAATCATGTTATCCACACGATTTTATCAAAATGATACAACTTATCCATTTTCATAATTTTTTTCACAAATATGCGTTTCAATAATTAAAAAAAAAAACACTACTTTTGTACTTTTGCCATATACATACAATATTATAGTGTCTAAAACATAGCATAACCTAATTCAGTATTAAAATCCAACTCTATGAAACCTTTTCTGGCCTCAACTAATGCCCTCCTTGTTACCTCAAACTCAGCTTCTGCAGCTGCCAATTCTCCCCTCAGCTTCTTCATTTTAATCTCCAAAGCGACAACACTGTCTTTCAGTTTGTTGACCTCTTCTGTCTTTTCCAAATGAGCTTTCATACCCAATGCAGATTGAACATAAGGCTCCAACCAAGACAACTGAAATCCCGAATGTTTTACAAGTTCCTCCCATAAACCATGAAGACGATTGCATGCATCTTCATTCATATCCTTTGCCTTACTTGTCTTTAGTAAGTATAGAACTTGACCTAAGGATGTGAATGCCCATAGTTTGAACCATCTTGAACTTTTCCTCTGGCTTCTTATAAGGGAAGGATGCCATATGCATGCCTCTTCCAACAGTGGAACAAAAGCTGCTTCTTCTTTCCCTAAACTCGCCAAATCTAGAAGGTCTTTTAGCGTCAAATCCGAACTTTTAACTTCCCCTTCTGTTTGACTAGATCCACAGCTGCTTGAACTAAGCGTCTCACACTCATCTGATGTTTCTGTTTCTGTTTCTTTATCAACTTCCTGCTGTGTGGATTCTGAATTTCTTCTTGCTTCATCACCTAACTTAGCGTTGGAAGTTGCACAGATTGTGTTCAACTTGTTAACTTCGATTGTACTACTAAAATCGGAGACACAAACATGAGCTTCAATGATGCATGTGTCGTTCACAAGATACCCTTGCTTTGAGTCAAAGAAGACACTTCGGTTCACGAAAAACGAGCCCCAGCTACGATATCCGCCATTGAACTTCTGCTGAGTCTCTGAAAATATCACATTTTTAAAGACAAACTAACGAAAGATTACCACAAAATATCTAAATATTTAAGATTATCATAGCAGATCCAACGAACAACAAATACCAGTCGTAATAAGAAGAAACTTATTAGAGAGATAAACAACAATGAAATCTAAATCTAACAGATGAAAAATTAACATCATATCTAACTCAAAACCTTAAAATAATGTATTAATATATCAATTTTTTCATTCTTAGCTCACTTATATCCAGACATATTTATACCACGAAACCATCAATGAAAGATAAAATCAAGAAACAATTACCCTTTACAACCGACTTATTCCCATCCAATTGATTAACCAGAGATAACTTGAAATATGTGTTTCTGTTCCATCCGTAGGGTGGTAAAGAATCCGCAACCATCAGATATAACGAAAAATGGTCGACATTTCTCATTAATGGATACAAACGAATACGCCTGAAAGGTGATTATGACGAATAAAACAGTTAATAATGAAAACTAAAGACTAAAATTAAGATCAAAACAAGAAAGAGCACAGAAACTAAAAGCATTTGACAGTACCATTTATAACCTCGGATTCGGAAGGCCTTGGATTGTAGTTTCTTGGTGTTTTGTTTTGAGAAATTCTGAATCTTCCACGTGAATGTCTCAAAAAGAATACCGGTTTCCCTCTGGGTGTCCATTCTAGTGGCTAGCGACATCTAAGCTGCCACTGCAAAAGGATGAACATACAAAGTGGTGAAAACTGTCGAAGTGAAGATGAAAACAATAACAGGGGTTGACCTGAGAAGCACCAAAAGCACAGAGATTGAAATTTGAAGTGTGCAGAAAAATATTTTACCACCAAAACTGTTACGACGGAATGAGGTATAATTAAGCAGTTCGTGGATGCGAGAACAGGGATTAAGAAATAAGAGTGGAATCATGTAAGTGAAGTCAAGTAAACCCTTTTGTCTTGAAAGGAAGAAGAAGGTGGGTTTTTACTTTGAATTTTCCAAGACATATAATTAATAGTGAGAAAAGGACCGTTTTGCCAATAATGTACTCAGATGGGCACCAAATTAAATTTCTTACTCTAACGAAGAAAACAACACAAATAAATAAGTATATATTGAATAACAATACTATATAAACTCTCATTTAAACATTTAACTTATCCATTAATTATTCATTCATATTATCATTTTTTAAGTACTTATGTTGTCTTTTTTAATTGGATAATGATATTTTTTAACAAAAAAAAATAATCTATTTTATTAATAAAATGCTTAATCGTGTACCTTGTATACCCAAAATTAAATAAATAATTTTTTTTGGTTAAAAATTACTACATGTATTTTTTAAATAATTCTAACAAAAATATATATTTTCATAGAGCTGTATCATTAATCTGATAAAAATATCGATATACGATAAACGCATGTATTTCTGCTATAACATATTATAAAATAATGTTATTTTTAACTTTTTACATTATAATTATTATTTTTAAAAAATAATTGATCTGGTTTAAACCTGTTATTTGGTTCACAAAAGATATTTATACAATCAAATAGAGTATATATCAAGAAAAAAATTTAAAATTACGATTCTATAATAATATATAATAATCTTTGTTCTCGAAATCGTATCTTTATCAAAGAAGATTATGTGTTATATTCTTGGGAGAAAACAGAACAAATACAAAAAATAATTAAATAACAATATTCATAATACAATGAACTTGCTTTAAGAAGGAGACGGCAACATGCTATTTTCTTATTTGATTTCATCATTCTTTGTGATTTCTTTGAATATCACTTCATTAAAAATGTTGAATTCTAGTCTCTTGTCATAATCTGAGTTAAATTTAACTGGGAGAAATTTTTATACTCTTTTCTTTTTTCTTTTTCTCCTTTCTAAAATTAAAGTAGGACAATCCGATGAGTAAAAAAAACAAGCTCTCTAGATGATAATTTCTTTCATGATGAACTTTTAATTTCACCCATGCATGTACCTTTGTCAATTTATATTTCGTGCATTTTATTCGCAAATTTAAATTGTGTATTTTAAGTTAAATTTTCAATAGTTTTATTTTTTCTTTTTTAAAAAAAAAATAGTGTTTTGATTTAATACTCAAAATATTTTCTGAATTTGAGATTCTCCTTAAAATTCGTTTTCATTGAGTCACCGCGAAATATACAATTTTCTTTGAGAGTCTACATCTCTACTAATTTGTCTGCTATAGAATATTGAGTTGATAGTACTTTCATTGTTATAAATATCCTGAAATTGCAGTCTAGAATAAAACTCTGAAATTTTAGACGATGGTGCAAGATGCAGAATGTAAATCAATCAAATTGGCGAATGACGATTATATCCTTAGTTCACAATCTGCTAAAAGTTTTTAAAAAATTATAAAATAAATAAATGTTATTTTCATAAAGTAAAGCTATTATATAGTTCATTTTTTTCTCTAAAAGTTAAACTGCTCAACATATTCATTATTAAAAAAACATTGTTGACACATTCCATCATAATTCTCAATAAAAGTCATTTGCTGTGAATTATTTATTAAATGTGAATCCTGATTAACATGGCCAAAAAAAATTATTGAAAATGAGTACTTGGGTAGCACAACAAATATTTTTTTTTTCCATAAATTAAACCAATATCATCGTAGGTATCGTATTTTTTTAAGTCCATGGCCAAATTAATTAAGTTGTAACACTAGATTTGTGTTTTTCTACGAGCTCAACAATAATTAGTAATTTAGAAATGGTTACAAGTTTTACTTCTCCCTCACTGGCACTAGAAGCATTATCTATGTAGGTGTGTATAAACCTGTTAAAGTGGAAAATCAAAAGAGGGGAAAATCAAAGCACAACCATCTATTTTAATTTTTTCAATTAAACAAAATATTCCTGAATATTGCTTGTATAATTTACATATGTTCAATTCTGCTAATTGGAGTTTGCATGGTTATGAGGTGTCAAGGAACTGTTAGTGGTAGGTAGGTTCCAAAGATTAAACAGACGGTAATTGAACAAAGTGCAGCGACACACTCAACTAACAGTGTCAGGGAAGTCTCTACGAGAATCCAACAGAAGTTTTCTTTTCAACTCTGCAAACGAGCCCAAGAATTTTTAAAACAGGATAAAAATAAATAAATAAATAAATATGTAAACGTGAAGAACTATAGATAAAAAAACGATGAAGTAGGACCTGCTGGCTCATGAGTATTTCCACTGCAACATTGATATTACCATCAGCAGCTGCAAGCGCCACTTCCACTTGCGTCTGAAACAGCCAAGACAATTGCATTAAAAATATAGAGCTAAGCCTTAGGCTCTAATGTACATTTGATGCACAAGCATCGGAAAGATATCTCACTAGATCTGAAAAAACAATTTGAAGGGTAGATGTTTTATTTCAGATATCACTTATCAAACAAACTTTGACCTATTCAGCCAAATTCAATACACATACATACACATCACTCCTGCTACAGTGATTAGGTTAAAAATAATATCGATCTTCATAACGATACCAATAAGAGACAGGAGAGAAGGACCCACAAGGAGATCAAACAAAACTAAATTTAAACACCGGATCTCTTTGAATGAGAAAAAAGTTCTCGGAGGTGCAAGCATAACATGCAAGGAGCCAATAACAAACTGGAATGTTTTAAAAAGTTTCAAGCCATTTTCTAACCATAGAAAAGATAAGGAGACTGATTTTTTACCCTGTCAAAGCCCATTGATACGAGTTTTTTAATCCCTTCTTCCGAAACGACTGCACCCTGCATTTAACGGGGGGGAAAACAGCAAACGTTAACCATCCAAATTAACTAAAAGAAAACAGGAGAGTTTCAAACATGGTATGTATGTATAGAGAAACCTGATGCTGTGGAACAGCAGTCGTTGTAGCTACATTAACAGCTGAATGCCTAAATTGAATTAGAAAGTCAAGTATGATCATTAATACAGAAACACAAACTTCTGAATAATATAATTGTAATCCTATTGAAATATAGCAGTTTAACTTGAATAATCAATGCATGACATCTGCTGATCTTTGGTATTAATGATTATACATTTGTGTAATTCCCATTTCTAGTTATACTAACGATACGACCTTGTCCGTGTCTACATCTTACACTAAGCATCACATGTTTATTGAACGGGTAACCAAATACAACCGAGTTACTGGTACCGCTGAATAAGATTAATTTCAATAAAACAGTGATTAAAAATCAAGCTATTTACAACTCAATAAATCATTCATTAATAAACTTTATGGACGACATCAATCAGCCATTCATAGAGAATGGACTATAAATATCTTATATATATATATATATATATATATATATATATATATTTGTTATTCTGTAGATGTTATAAGCTTTATACGTTTGACATGCATAGGTATGTTCTGGTTCGGGCATTTCCCAGTAAAACAAAATTGGGTTCAGGATGGGGGGATAGGTAGTGCAATTCCCACAGTGTCCTGTCCCGCCCGCACCTTTGTAACTTGTCTCTTTTATATTATGTGTTTCAAAGGACTGATAATGGAACTTGTTTACGTAGTACTCTGTTTTTAAATATTGAAAGTTCAAAAGACTTTCATGTGTTATTATGTGTTTGGAAGAATAGCAACTTAGAACTTACGGTAAAATATTGAAAGTTATGTGTTTGTCTTTATTTTTCGTCTTTATCTTTCAAGCTGAAGCCTACTGATTTGAACCTATTTGCTAACCTTTTACGTCAGATTTCTTGAGTTTTTGTGCAAGGATGCAACGGTGGAGCACCTCATAAGGTCGTATGAAAAAAATAATAAAATTAATTTACAATTTGTGCATAATTACATTTTTTAAAAATGAGACAGGGCGGGGAATGGGGAACCCAAACCTGATATCTGGCCTCGGCAGGGGTGGGAATGATTAAAGGAGTAGGGGACGGGGGGAAATCCCGCCCCAATGTCAGACATATATAAATATACAATATATAGATATATATATATAGATATATATATTATATATATATATGTATGTGTATATAATTATATAGATATATATATTTGATGTATATATATATATATATATATTATAATATGTATTATATTATATATATATACACATACATATATATATATATATATATATATATTAACATACGATATGTGTAGATAATTATATATACAACATACAATATATATATATACACATACATACATATATATATATATATATATCCAATAATTTTGGACATAGTTGAATAGTTTATGGAGCCTTTTATTTGCAATTCATCTAATGTTAAACATATTTATGCTAGAAAACTATTTAAAATTGCTTACAGTTAAAATTGTGCTCAAGTATGTGTTATATTTATAGAGCATTTGAATACATATTTATAACTTACTAGATAAGTCTACTCTAATTCTCATGCTTTTTCAATATTAGTTTCAAAGTTATACATAACTACACCAATATGTATTACATGGACTAATTTAATTTAGGCTAGAGAATCAACATGACAACCTAAACTTACTGTTAAATGTTAAACAGGGAACCCATTTACAAGCATGTAACTTATATTGGGTTCATTCAAGTTGAATATTGTCATTCCTAGTAAGGGGAAAAAAACAAAAATTTATCAATCTATGCCTAATACTGTAGGTATTATTCTAGGTTCAAACTTCATAAGAAATGATGATTGAAGTCAGTCAGCATACTAAAATTTTGCTTTAAATAAGCAACCACCATATAAGCTATCAATTATGCTCAAACCATCTCTCGTACCTTCCTTCTGATAACTGATGAGTGTTACTAGGAGTGGATGAAACTAAAGGATTATTGGGACTACTATCCTCCAAAAGTCTTTCTTGAAGATTTGAATCTGAATGAAGATGAGAAGGAGCTTGATCTTGACCAGAACCAAGGGTCCTTCCCCTCCCAGGGAACCTACTGTCCTCAGTTGACTGTAAGATATCACATAACACAATCAAATGTGTATAAGTCGAAGATTACAACTCACCAGAATATAGGCATGAATACATAAAAGAAACTAATAGACAATGACTTGCATTCAGGTAGGGATATAACTTTAACTTCAAACTTGTCGGTTCAATTTGACATAACTGCAATTTAGTGACTACTCGATCAAAACAGGTGTTGATAACCATCAGGGAATCAATAGATTCAAAGGCAGTTGATAAACACGGCTTGAAGTGAGAAAGGTAATGAGCTCATTTGTTACAATGTCTCTTGTTAAAATAACGTTTTTTTCAGAAAGTAACCACTTCTTTTAGTATGTCATCTATTTGTTCTAGCTTTTCAACAAAATAACAATTATGAAGCTAAAAAAACCAAAAATGGTATTCAAACCAAAAATTATTTTGAATAGTTTCCACAAAATCAGATGCTTCCTATAACAAATTGATATTGTGATTGTAAACAAACAAAAATTAGTTTCTTAAAAAATCATTCAAAAACAATTTTACAACATAATCACTTCTTTTTAATTTGTAAGAACTGACCTAATGTATCATTCAAGTAAAAAGGCACACTCACTCATGTTATGGAACGTGTCATATTCCCGATAATGAGTGAACTTTCAAAGAAAGGCACATAATTTTTTTTTTCTGATACCAATTGGTGATGCCACAACCCTATGGATTATGGGTATTTCTAAGAACAATGAGCTGTTGAAGATAAAAGATTAATTCATATAAAAGGAATCATCCCAGGTCAAAAACCTGGACACTTGCCAGCTGCCTAAATATCTAGAAAAATCTACTTCCAAAGAACTAGTAGTACTAGTAGACATTAAAAAGAGGGAAAAAAAAAACAATTTGCCAAATAAATGGTAGGTGATAAATATCAGTCCGGAAATTCAAAAAATGACTAAATGCAAGCACACTCTTTGCACTTGCAAGTAAAATGAACAGGTAATGTACACAACCAGGGAAAATACTAACTAGCAAACTTTCATAAAATTAACCCAACATACATTGATCAGATTCAATGATCAGTAGATCACATATACAAGGTCCACATACACTTGTCATGAATGAGTACTAAAAAACAATGCAGTTGCATTCGTTCACATAATGAGCAAAGCAAAAATGACAGCCACACCAGCAAATGTCTGATTTTTTGAGAGCCCACCAAAAGTACTAAAAAAATAAGATCACATACATACCTGAGTAGACACTTCCCTTTGAGGCATCAATGAAGACAGGTTCCTCCAAATATTTCCAGAAAGCAAGCCACTACCCCATGAAAGCATAGAATTTAAAATGTGGATTAGTATATATCTGTAGACATCTGTGTGATTTGGGGTGAAACCCATGGTATTTAGTATTTACCCTGTTGAATTTTGGTTTGTATGTGTAGGAATATAACCCGAAGGATTTCCACCCGTGCAAACGATAAATTTTGGACGTCTCACACATGATGACTGAAAGTCCAGAACATACACATTAGTAAAGGTCCACATTTTGAGTGAGTGCATGTATTTTCATAGTCTTTAAAAAGTGGAATTTAAATCTAATTCAATTTTACAAAACTGACCAGAAATATGAGATTTGTTTTCATTTATATATTTTAATTTAGTCATTTTTTAGTCGATGTGAAATTTCCAACACACCTGTCAAAGACAGGACATTTCAAAACTACGGGAGAACCCGATGGTGGGTGACACAATTGCCCTAACAAACTTAACTAGAATAGACTTTTTATGATTTTGATACCATTTTAAGAAAGTGTAATTTAAACTTAATCTCACAAAATCAACTTAAAAGATAAGGTTTGTATCTATTTATATATTATAATTTGATCATATTTCAAAATCGATGTGTAATCTCCAACACATAAAATGAATATCTAGTGGATGACTTTTTCCATTTTCATTTTCATTTTTTAATTTTAAAATAAAATAAGTTACTGAGATAAAATAAAAATATATTAATTCACATTCCAGTCAATCATGACATGTTCAGCGCATCAGTCTATTTTGTGTTAGCCCCCCGCCATAGGGGAGAATTATTGAAATCAAATGTGCTAACCACTTCAGAGCTAACTACATCAATACAGTTAAAATTCTAACCACATTGATATTTTTTTTATACTTGACAGATTGAGTTCACATTAATTTGGTAGACCAAATACTTTTCACATTTGTACCCTACTCAAGTAAAGTATTATAAAACAAACTCAAAACATCACAGGATTACTTTTTCTAAAAGGCAGAGTCATCAGATAAGAGAATGAAGTTGGTTTGTGTTGAGAACCCCCAAAAGAAATATTTGAAGAATGCTATGCAAGATAAAAGAAACCTAATGAACTTATTATTGGTGAATGGGATTTCTCAATCCACAGAGGGCAGGCCCTTTCTATAATTGAGCTACAGCATTTCCCAAAGGCAACAAGAGATTTTAATAACAACTCAAGAATGAATCTCCCTTCTAACCACCTCCCTACTACCGAAGTTAACCCTATGCCATTACTACTACAACCACTTGAAATAAATTCCTGTTCTAGGGTTCTATCAGTTTATCTCAGTCCAGAACTTATTTTAAAATAGCATACTCATAAACTAAAACTATCTATAGTTTGCACAAAAGGGGGTGTTAATAGACAGCATTTGACAATAGGTATTTCATTTGCATTTAGCAGTATCTAAGCCATTCATCTAATATGATGTAAATAAAAATTGAAATGTTTGCCGGCCTGGTGCACTACCAAATCCTATTATAAAGAAATACTTACAAGCCAAGACGAGGATTCAATAGAAGAATAAAAAGTGGTTCCAGGTATGAGGAAATTAAACAATCCATATGTATCTGAAACATCAAGCATAACATCATAAAACTAGAGATAAATGCTTACTTTTTTTGCAAAAGTAAAAAATTAAAACAGAAGGAAAAAGATTGAAGTCTGACATGCAAACCCAGATAAAATGCCACAAAGGTGCCCAAGTAGTGAAACATTTTGCATGAGAAGCTGGAATACTACCAACAAAAAGAATGCATACCTAAACAAAGTATGTTAAATTATCACGAAAGGGAATTATCAAGATAAAAATCAAGACATGAGTTCAATAACAAAATAAAACTCACCACTTGGCAGGCACATTAAACAATCCAAAAACACTGCACAACGAATAGAAAAAGTTACCAAATTAGTGAAGCCTTACCAATTGATGATAATTAAATGCAGCATAGCACGTGTATAGAATGTATAGTGTCTTATTATTAAAACTTGTGAAGTAATTCATTGCATGCTGAATTGGTTGGCAAAAGCATACTAATAAAACAGAATAAAATTGTGAAGTAAATCAATGGACAATGATTAAACAAAATAATCATTAGCATCATTCTGAAAACTCGATTAAAAATAGTATATTTCAGTATCTTGAATAGCTTCCAAAACATGGTTTCTGCAAAATTATCTTCAAGAAAAAGGAGATTAGCATAGTAAATTGAATTTTCCCAACAGTGGTGAATTTCTTGCACAACAGCAATATTTATACAGCCAACCTCCTGGATTGAACTCCACTCAAGCTTGTCTCTATAACAATCATTGAAAATAGAACTCCTGAGAAGCCTATGGCACACTCATTCATGAGGTAATCATATGTAAGAACAGGATTGTGTGCCACCAGCAGTGCTATGAGCACGTGGAATATGGCATTGCTTGTAGCCAACAAAATAATGACATATAGCAAGCGAACTGAGCCCATGATCCTCTCCAGCTCAGACCCCAAGGGAACTAAAGCCATCATGTTGAAGAGAACATGAAGCAGTGAACCATGGAAGATAATGGAAGTATAAAACCTGTAAACTGCACGGAAAAAAAAATAATGCTGAGCAAAGAAACCAGTCGTGAATGGGTTGACTTTTCAGCACCATAATGTTTGTTGTACAAGCTTGTCTAGAGTCCAGAATTCAGCACCATAATGCTCTAACAAATTTGAGTTGGTATTTTTTTAAAAATTCAATTCATGAGATATTTTTATTTCTATATGCCATATAACCATGTCAGATCAATTTCATATAAACATGTAACACTGCTTTTCACACAGAATCCCAAGTAGACAAAAAAGAAAATATGAAAAAGAAAAAGGTGTCACAGTGACACATGTGCACAACCACGTCAAGAAGATAAATTGCTGTGGCCCACCAACATAAGTACATAAAAGAATGAAGAATAAATAAATTTAAATTCTTGGATCAGGAAAGAAGAAACAAAAACAAGGTTCAAATGAGGGAGATACTAAGAATATATGATTGCACATTGAAAAGAAGGACTAAAGGAAGAAGCTGAAGCTGGATGACTTTTCTTCTTCACAAAACAGACCCACAACAATGGCATTTGGCGGTTGTAGAGCATTGGTGATGGTGTCGGCAGGTGCAAATGATTCGTCAAATTTGAATAGAGATTTGGGAGTTGCAAGCCTTTGGGGAAGAGTGTATAATCACTACAGTGTGAATCGGAGGGGAAAGGAAATAATTAGGGATTTCAAATCCAGGTCAATGGGATAAACCCCAGTTTTTGTCTTACCTAAAGATTAAACAGGATAAGAGAATCCCACAGTTCCACAGGTATTGTTGTGTTAGGACTTAAGCACAAATGAAGAGCAAACACAGAAGAATAGTTTATTAAATGGAAGAGTCTCGAGACTTAAGTACCACATCTTGTAGTTCACCCTACCCAATGTAGGACTCCTAACTTGACACACTTTTTAAGGTCTGATATCCACAGCGGTTTTCACTCTATCAACATGGTACTACCAATTGTAGCCCAGCCCAAAGAAAACATCAATTGTTAGGACTTACGTAGATAAGGGAGTCAAATACAAAAACCCGATCATTAGATGAGAGAGTCCTAAGGCTTAAGTAACACAACATCAAGTAGTTCATCATACTAGATATGGAACTCCAAGCAAATTGTGATCTTGCAACAATCCAACAACCCAACAATCATGCTCACAGTCCAGATCGGATAGGCCACCATAGAGTGTACAATCACACGATCCCTGAGTATGACCGCAATTCTAATGATGGTGAAAAGAATTGGAAAAATCATAGATACAGATCCTTAGGTGATATAAATATTTTCTAATTTGGAGTATCTGTTGAATAATCAGCGTAACAAATGTTCGCACTAAAGGATTTTGAAAAATATTTAATAAACTCAAAGTGCATGTTTGATCCAATTTGGTAATGTGGATAGGCATGTTAAATTGGAATCAACTAGTGATAGCTTATCCGTCTTCTGTGAAATTGACACAGAAATTAAAGGTTACCCACTTCTTACAAGCGAATCCAAATACAATGTAATTCTAATTAAAGAGCAACACCAAAAGAACTGTGTGTAAGTTTGGTTAAAATAGTATACCTTGAAACCGTGACACAACAGCAGATGGCAAGAAGCAAACCTCAGCAAAGGAATCGTATCCAACCAAAAGACAAACCAAGTAAATGACTCCACAGACAACCACCACTGCAGAAGTGAGAAATGGAATGTTTTCCCACCATTGATTCATCCTAGTAGGCAACCCTGCCTGTGTCAATTAAGCCATCAAGGTCAATTAACCAGAATAACATCAATGAAGGAAACTATCTAGCTAACCATTCTACAACAACACTTAATATAATCAGCAAATCCTCAACAGAAACGCAGCGAACTTTAAATTTCGCAGTAAAGAGTTTTGTCACTTTATCTGCAGACAAAAATCATACAAAATGGAACCTATAGCGAAACAATGTCCGAAATTATCTCGGTCCCGAAACGAGGATTTTCAGTTCAGCTACTAGGATGAATGATGAGTGTTGAGTGAAGTGTGTTGACACTGGTGCCTCAAAATTGCGGCAGAAACGAAGCGAGGATAGAAGAAAACAGGGAAATGGATTATATTACCTCAGAAACTATGTTTGGTCTCATATTTCGGGCTCTTCGCATGCAACCAAGTTTGAATTCGCAGCTTTGGCTCACTGCTTTGATTAGCAGTCACAGATTTGGTAATCTTTGAACTTCGATTCCGATAACCGGTTTTGGATTTGATTTGCTGATTCAGGTTTTTTCTCTTATGAATTCTGACCCCACACTTGACTCGCGAAACCCGTAGAAACAACTCTTTTCCTCACTCTGGGATGCGCGTTCCGATTTTGCAGTCTCACCAACCTTCAAACAAAAGGCCAAGGTTTATAATGCTTTTCGTCATCCTTATTTCTGTTAGTTTGTATAAAACTATCAATTTATTTATTTATTATTTGACTATAGGACGGCGAATAAAGTATATTTATAATTATATAGTTAATTACATATTAAAATTATCGTAAGTATAAATTATAATGTTTACTACTACTAAATTTTAACTAGTTTTATTATCTCACTAAAATAAATAAATATTTTACGGCATCTATAAAATGAAGACCTCTTTTATTAACATTTTAATGTTACAAAAAAAAATATTGTCCATGTCAATAAACATTGTATATTCTGTATGTAAAATAAATTATCCTTGTTTATAAATTCTAAAAGGATGTTTTTTTTCTAAAAAAAATAATAAATGTTTCTTATTTTATGAATACAATACAATTAAGTAATGTATTGTGATAAAAATTATCATTATTGAATATTTAACTATAAAAATTATAATAAATAAATAAATAGTCTTAAAAACGACATCAAACCAACTTATAACTTTATGTCGTGTCCAATCAAACCAACTCAGTACTATATGGAAAAATCCTTAAATTTAATAATAATGATCATTACAATTCACTCGAAATAAGTGGTGAGAATTTTTGTAACAAAATACAATATTATTATGATGATTGTAATTAAAAATGTCATAGTAATTGAATTTTAATTCATAATAGTCTATTTAATATGTTAGTTGTATTTTATATATTTCAATGTGATCTAGATAGTTAAATTTATCATTGCCATTTGAATAGTTTGTTGTGAAAAACTGTAAATATAAAACACATACATGCTACGTATGTAAAATTGTACATAAGAGATTAAGATAATAACATGTAATTAAGAAATACATGTATAGTCGTGAATAATGAGGAATTGGACATCACTCACACGTAGAATTTAGCAAATTCATTTTTTGTAGTGTAGTGTAATGGTTAAATAACACAAAATGGTGAAGGATATTAGAGTGAATGTGTTTCTCCTAAATTGTTTGTGACTTTTTATGAATGTAGTTTCACAAATTTCAAAAAGATTTTAGGTCTTCTTTTGAGTGGATTTGAGGGAGTAGATTTTTTAGAGGATTTAAAGATAATTTTTTTTTCCGTTTATTTGAGTGAATTTGGAGGTAAATGAGAGTGAATTTAGAAATAAAATTTGTGAGAATTAGAATATAATTGTATTGACGTGACAAATTAAAAAAATTTATTTTCAAATTCACTCTCATTTACCTCTAAATTCACTCAAATAAACGACAAAAAAATTTATCTTCAAATCCACTCCCTCAAATCCAATCAAAAGAACAAGGCCTTAGTGTTGTGAACCTTATTAAAGGTGAGAATATTAATAAATAATATGGTTGTGAGCCTACTATAATTCTTACTGAAAGTTTCATTTTCATTTATTATTATAACTGAATTATCATTATATTTATATATATTCAGTGAGTGTTGTCTTGTGGAAGTTATAAAAAATTTCCAAAAACTAACATGATATAATGAAATGGTTGATGATGGATGTAATCATGAAACATTTGAGAAGACTATCTTAACAAGCAATGACAATGGCTATTATCTAGTTTTTCTACTTTATGAAAATCTTGTTTAGTTGCTCTTCAATGAGAAACAACTATCTCAAACTCTAAGGAATTAATATTTGAACAGAGATTTTGGTGTGCCTTGGTTACAAAGTTTGAAAGATGTTTTTTTCAATAAATCTTTGGAACCTTATTTGATTATTCTCCGTGTTTGTTTGGTGGAACTCATAGTGTAGAAAATGTTTCAAATAATAAAGCTAAATTATTCATATTTTTGACTTATTACATGAAAATCTATTTTATAAAAAAACAAGATCATTTAAATACTCCAGAGACTAAATTTTAAATACCCTTTTTATTTACACACACGTGTGTATATATATATAATATTAGATTCATAGATTCAAAAGAAATTCGTATATTCTTTATATATAAAAATATAAATCTAAATTACATATCACGATAAATGTAAATCACATGAATTTAACCATTCCTGTCTATGGAGAAGATACAGTTATAAAACTTATGAAAAAAAAATTGCTATCAAAAACAACTTTATGATATAATTCAATATTCAATTTTGTATGTATGAAATAATGAGTCTTTAAACAATTAACAACAATGAATAAAAGAAAATATCAAATTACATGGTTATGATATTCACTACTACCTTTAATATCAATTTATTCCCATTGTCAATTGGTTTATCTCTTGGTTAGAAAGACAATCACATGTTATTATACTTGGTATACTAGATTAAATATCTTATTTATATTTTTTTTGTACTTTTCATTCATTTCACATTTTAAGGATATATATGTTTTTTTTTTCAAATTGATCATTAATTTTATCCGATTTTATAATCACAACAACAAAACTAAAATGAAAAGAAATATCTTGAATTTAATTTACTCATCATGTGGAGGAAAACTCTTATCAATTGTAAAATTATCGATATAATCTTCTTCGTAAATTTCATTTATAAAAAATGATATTTACTCGTGATTTCGTAAAACTTAAAGAATAATCTTTCATCTTATATACTAATACTTTAACCTAGTACAATATGAGCATAAAATACTTCACTTGTTTTATAATAAAAACTAAAATGAATATCAACTCCAAATTCATAAACCACATTTCAAATTTACCTTAAGACAAATTGGATTTCAAAATGACTAATGATTCTTTGACACAACTAAATTTTTTATATTCATTTCATACTATCCTTTCTTATTTTTTACTATTTATTTATTTTTTAAAATACAAAACTTTATATTTTTATGACCATTTTAGTCTTGTGCTGTCAAATGAATGTAAAAATATGTCATGATATCATTACACTTTCAAAATCCGATTACAAAAATTGTGCTTAATGAATTTTGAAATCCAGTTACTAAATGCTTATTGAAATTCAAATTTTGTTAACCAAAATCTGGTTCATGGAGTCTACCTAATTTCAAAATTGGTTACGAATATCTTGTAAGATTTCAATATTTGGTTATGATTTTGGTAATTCGAAATCTGTTAATAACAAATCCAAACAAAATTGAAATTTTAAATCTATTGATATTTTCTAAAATTGGATTTTCAAATCTGATTTATGTATTGTGCTTATCGAATTTTGAAATTAATTTTTAAAAATGCTCATCAAATTTCGAAATTTGATTTTATTAAGATTTGTTATTCACCAATTTTGAAATTTAATTACCAATTCTGAAAAAAAAAATTCGAATAGAATTTCAAAATTTGATACATAAAAAAAGAATAAAAAAAATAACGAAATCTGGTTGATTCTTGTTGGAAAACTCCATACAAAAGAGCGCACATGAAATACATACCTCTATTGCAAACGAAAATTCAACTCTCTTATAGTATGAGTATAAATGAATTCAACCAACAAAAAAAAAATGAAATACCATTGCGAAGAAAAAGAACTCCCTTCATTTTTTTTAAGATGAGAAAAAATGAACTCGATTTGTGGTTGCATTGGAAGAAGAAATAACGGGACAAGAGTATAATAAATATTTACTGCAAGGTGATAACAATAATAAATACTACTTACCTAATTAATTTAATATTTTATATATATTATATATATATATATAATTATAATTATATATAATTAGAATTATAATTATAATATATAGGGTTATAATGGGCATGAGTGAAATCGGGGGGGTGCAGGAAGAAGCCTCATGTGATATACTTCGGTTTTATTCATCTCACAATTGGGTTCTGCCCAACGGCCCAAATATTACAAAGCAAACCCTAGGCTTCTGTTTTCGCGTTTCGACTTCAATCCATAGCCGCTTTTGTCTCTCGTTTTCCGGAGCACACGCCAGTTTCAGAAGCGGTAAGCACAAATTCAACGCTGCTGTCTTCGTTTTTCTTCTACGTTTGTTGCAACTCAATAGCTGCAATTTCATCTGAATTGATGCTTCTGGTAAATTCGTCGTGATACAGTTAGAAGTTAACACCGTTACGTTCATTTGCAGATTCCCTACTCAACTTTTTGACTGAAAGATGGCTTCGAGATTCTGGACTCAGGTATTTAGAAAATTCTCAATCTATGTTTTAATTGCTTGCTCCTTTAGGTTGAGGAAATTATCATATTTGAAAGCTTTTATTTTTCGTTGTTATTTACTGAATTGTAGGGTGGGAGTGATTCCGAGGAGGAGGAGAGTGATTACGACGAGGAGGTTGAAACCGCGACAGGTGAATCTGCTAGTCAAGCAGTTACAAGCAGGTACCTGCAGGAAAATGCTAGTGACAGTGATGATTCCGATGGGCAGAAGCGTGTTGTGCGGTCGGCGAAAGATAAGCGTTTCGAGGAGATGGCCTCCACTGTTGATCAGATGAAAAATGCCATGAAGATTAATGATTGGGTGAGCCTGCAAGAGAGCTTTGACAAGATTAACAAACAGCTTGAGAAGGTTATGCGTGTCACTGAGTCTGTGAAAGTTCCGAATCTCTACATCAAGACGCTTGTGATGTTGGAAGATTTCTTGGCTCAGGCCTTGGCTAATAAGGATGCCAAGAAGAAGATGAGCAGTAGCAATGCTAAAGCATTGAACACCATGAAGCAGAAACTGAAGAAAAATAATAAACAGTACGAGGATTTGATTAATAAGTGTAGGGAGAATCCTGAGAGTGACGAGGAGAAGGAAGAAGAGGAGAGCGAGGAAGAATATGAGAGTGATGATGAGATTATTGAGCCAGAGCAGCTTCGGAAACCGGAAGCAAAATCTGATTCTGAAGCCTCTCAGTATGATGATGAAAAGCATGATGCTGGTGATGGTCCTTGGGACCAAAAGCTTAGCAAGAAGGATCGGCTATTGGATAGACAATTTATGAAAGACCCCAGTGAGATCACATGGGACTCGGTTAACAAGAAGTTCAAAGAGGTTGTGGCTGCTAGGGGCAGAAAGGGGACTGGGAGATTTGAACAGGTTGAGCAGCTTACTTTCTTAACGAAA